ACAAACAGAAATGAATAAGAAGAGAAGAGTAAGGAGAGTAAAGAAAGGTAAAGAGAGGGGGTTGATAGACTGCAAAAGGAGAGCAGATGATAGAGTAGGAGAGGCAACTGTAAAGAAATTTTGATGAAAATAAGAAAAAATTTGGATTTGAGATAAACAAGTTAAAAAAGCCTAGGAACAAATGGATTTGTAAGTTAAATACAGAGTAGGGGAGTTAGTAGATGGGTAGATGGCGGGAATATTTTGAGGAACTTTTAAATGTCGGTGAAGAAAGGGAGGTGGTAATATTCATGCACTGGTCAGGAAGTATAGCATCTTTCAGGAGTGAAGAAGAGCATGATGTGAGTGTGGGGGAGGTGTGTGAGGCATTATGTACAGCTGGAACTGAACGGAATCATGACAGAAATGTTAAAAGCAGGGGGAAGGGGGATATAGTGTTGGTGTGGTTGGTATTTTTGTTTAATAAGTGTATGAAAGAGGGGAAGGTACCTAGGGATTGGCAGAGAGCTTGTATAGTTCCTTTATATAAAGGGAAGGGTGACAAAAGAGATTGTAAAAATTATAGGGGAATAAGTTTACTGAGTATACCAGGAAAAGAGTACAGTAGGGTTATTATTGAAACAGTTAGAGGTAAGACAGAGAGTAGGATTTTGGATGAGAAAGGATGCTTTAGAGTGGGTAGTGTATGTGTAAATCAAGTGTTTACATTGAAGTATATTTATGAACAGTATTTAGATAAAGGTAGGGAAGTTTTCATTGCATTTATGGATTTAGAAAAGGCATATGATAGAGTGGATAGGGGAGCAATGTGGCAGATGTTGCAAGTACAGTGGGCCCTCGCCTTACGATATTAATCCGTTTCTGAGAGCTCATCGATAAGCCTAAATTATCGTTTAGCTGAATTAGTTTTCCCATAAGAAATAATGGAAATCAAATTAATCCGTTCCTGACACCCCAAAGTATGAAAAAAACTTTTTTTTACCACATGAAATATTATCTAGGTAGTAGGTTGGTAGACAGCAACCACCCAGGAGGTCTACTGTCCTGCTAAGTGAGTGTAAAACGAAAGCCTGTAATTGTTTTACATGATGGTAGGATTGCTGGTGTCCTTTTTTCTGTTTCATAAACATCAAGATTTCAGGTATGTCTTGCTACTTCTACTTACACTTAGGTCACACTGCACATACATGTACAAGCATATATATGCACACACCCCTCTGGTTTTCTACTATTTTCTTTATATAGTTCTAGTTCTTGTCTATTTCCTCTTATCTCCATGGGGAAGCGGAACAGTATTCTTCCTCCATAAGCCATGCGTGTCGTAAGAGGCGACTAAAATGCCGGGAGCAAGGGGCTAGTAACCCCTTCTCCTGTTTATACAGTATTACTAAATTTAAAAGGCGAAACTTTCATTTTTCCTTTTGGGCCACCTGCCTCGGTGGGATACGGCCGGTGTGTTGGAAGAAAGAAAGATGAAATACAGTGGACCCCGGTTAACGATATTTTTTCACTCCAAAGTATGTTCAGGTGCCAGTACTGACCGAATTTATTCCCATAAGGAATATTGTGAAGTAGATTAGTCCATTTCAGACCCCCAAACATACACGTACAAACGCACTTACATAAATACACTAACATAATTGGTCACATCGGAGGTAATCGTTAACCGGGGGTCCACTGTATTAATTTTTATAACAAAATGAAGAAGACATGACAATTCTACTCTATAAGAATAGAATAATGACACTTTCCTTTATTGAAAGATCTGGTGAGATTTATGGGATGGAGGAGGGGAGTGTGTGGAAATATTTTTTTAGAAGGGGAACCCCTTTCCCTTAGGATTGAGGGGGCAAGTCCTTTTTCCGGGGGGACTTCCCCTTTTCTTTTAATGCCCCCTAGGGGCCCCGGTTGAGAATCACTGGACCTCTGTTTCAAAACAAATCTGTCCAAAGCTTGTACCTCCTGTTCCTTTTAAGGGCTTTCCAAAAAAGGGCCATAAAATTGTCCCCAAAGTTTTAGGTTGCCCAAAGGCTTGCAGTAGCTGGGTCAGGGTGTTTTCTTCCCTAAAAAGGGTTTTCTTTCAAACCCCCTTTGCACCAATTTTCCTTTTTAAACTCTTTTTTCAGTTTCCCTAAAATTTTCACCCTTTTTACCACAGAGATGGGACAAAAAATTTTTTTGGGGGCCATGGTGAATATTTTGCAGTTACAAACACTAAAAACAATGGGATAATGGGGAAATGTACCAATATATTGGCCCCGGGTGGCTTTTTAAACACTGGCGTGAGGCCCCCACGTTTAGACGCGTCCTGTTTCAATCACGTAAGGGGGTTTTTTTTTGTGAGGCGAGGCAAAATTTTTGCCCTTTTAAAAACTTTGAAAGGGAGAATTTTAAAGTAACACCTGCCAAAAGAAGGGGGGTCCCCTGTGTTTTTAATAGGGAGTAAGTTTTCTAAATTCTGTAAAAGAGTTTTCTGAGGTAGTGAGGCTCAGTTTTGGGTTGGGGAGAAGACCCTCTTTCATTAAAGGGGGAAAAATAGGTCTTGACAGGGTTTTGTAATGTAAACCCGGCTTTTTTAAAAGTTTTTTTTTAGAAAGGGGTTGTTAAAAAAAGTAATTTCCCAGGGGGTTGGGGAGAGGGTTTGGGGTTTAAATTTTGGGGAAACAAATAAAAATGGGGAGTTGAACAATTACTTTTTTTCTTGATAAAAATGGGGGGTTATGGGAGATCTAAAAAAGGGCCGGGAAAGCCCAGTTTGGGCCAAAGGGTTTTTGGGGGGGTTTTTTTAAAGGTTTAAAAGATTTTTGAAATTTTAAATTTAATTAAAAAAAATTAAAATTATGGGAAAAGGTTTAATTTAAATGGAATTAAATTTTAAAAAAAAAATTGAAATATCAAATTTAGAGAAGGAAAAAAGGAAAAAGGGGAAAGGGGTTTTCAAAAATTTTTTTTGGGGGTTGAAATGCAGGGGAGGGGGGGGAAGGATGAGGTTAACCCCTAGAATTTGGGTGAAGGAAAAAATTGGGTGTGTGTTGAAGGGATAAAGTGGAGGGCAAAATTTTTTATATATGGAGGAAAAAAAAGGGAAAAATGAAAAAATAATGGTACCAAAATTCTTACATGGGGGTGAAGCGGGTTTTTAAAAGCTTTCAGCAAAAAGGGGGTGGTTGGAAAGGTGGGGGATTTCCTTTCTAAGGGAATAAGTGGTGTAAATAAATTTTGGGAAGAATTTGGAGTATGGAAAATTTGGAGGGGTGGAGTTAATAAAAAAATTTTTAGTTTAGAAAATTTAACAGGGGGGGTTTAGGTAGTTTGGTCATTTTTAGAGAGAATGGATCAAAGTAATTGCATGGGGTTAAAAAAATCTGTAGGGGAATGAAAACAGGGGGGAGGGGTCCTCCTCGAAAAGATTTGGGGTTTTTGGGCCCTTGAGCTGTTGGGTGGAGCAAGGAAATATTTAGTGAAGGGATTCGGGGAAGCCAGTTATTTTTATATAGCCGATTTGAGTACTGGAAAAAGGGGAAGTACAATGTTGCATTTTAAAAGGGGGGGGTTTGGGGCATTGGTTTTGGGGGGTATGTTATATATCTTTATTAGCCCTAAACTGTTGTATTGGGCACCTCTGAAAAAAACGGTTTATGTATGAGTGAGGTGAATTTTTTTAATGATGAAAGTTTTTCTTTTTTGGGATTTTTTTTCTTTTTGGGTCATGTCCCTCTGTGGGAGAGGGGCCCCTGATTTGTTAAAAGAAAAAAAAAAAAACAAGAAATTGGAACAGAAAATTCTTGCTCCAAAACCCCCGGGTATCATGAAGGCTAAAAATCCCAGGGCAAGGAGTAGAACCCCTTCTCCTGTATTTTTTAGTAAATTTAAACAAACTTTTATTTTTGGACCCCCTCCCCAGTGGGATACGGCTGGTTTTTTTGAAAAAAATTTTCAAAGATGGACTTTATGAAAATTTAAATTAAATATCTAAGAAGTTTATTTAGTAAAAAAATAACTATTTACAGGCTTCCAGATGGGCCATCAAATTTAAATTTTTCTATATTGGAGATTAAATCATTTTTTTCCTTTAAAATTTTTGTTTGAATACATACTCAGCTCGTTTCTGATCTATATGATGAAGGGGTGATGCATTTCTGTAGGTAGAAAAATTTCCTAATTGAGCTAAGTACTTATCATTGCAATTTCTTTTTTTTATGGGGGGAAATTTAAAATTTTCTTATGAGGCATTTACAAATTTACATTCGGGTCAAAATGCACTTCAAGCAGCACAGAACTGTTTTAAAAATTGAATATTATTGATAACTGTGATGATAATATTATGTAACCATGTGATTAAAATATTGATTTCTGTGAT